CAGGGTCTCCCTGGTTTTCGACACGAGGCCATGGCATTTTCGACTCGGCGGGCTCGACTCGTAAGCAGATTTGCTGACTTGACAATCACTCAAAAAAAAATATATATATATATATATGTATGTATGTACATATTCATCTCTGTCTTATCATATGCCGCTTTATGCTTCAACTTGTTCTTGTTCCTCCAGTCTGCCCATTCACTCTTGGGCTTAATCTGTTCCGCGTCTTGACACAAGCACCCGCATTTATGACAACACATACATCGGTACGTACAGAAATGTGTATGTATATGTACGTATGTATCTATGTATCTATGTATCTATGTACCTATGTAGGTATGTATGTAATGTACGACTCTACAGATGCCCCACACCGATCCCGCACCTCTTCGCGGCGGAGAGCCTCCGCGGCTGAGGCGGCGGCACGCTGAGCGTCGGCCTCGGCCTGGTTCATCGTTCAGGGGTCCGGGGTCCATCAAAAATGGGGGGGGTTTAAGGACAGTTTGGGGCTTTAGAGCTTTAGGGGTTTGCGGGCTTCGGGTTTAGGGTTTCGGGTTTGACTGAAAGCTTAGATTAAGGTTTTTCGGAAACGAAGGAGCTTCCAAGTTTGGGGTTTAAGGCTGAAGCCTCGGGAGCTCGGATCAGGGAGAAGAAGGCTTGGTTCACTCTGTTGGGCTTAGGACTGAACCCCAAGAAGCGCACACAATATTCTTATACCTTGTTCAACATACATGCGCCTGCGCCAGCTCTGCCTCGCGCATGGCTGCGCCAGCTCTGGCCTCTGAAAGAAAAGAAGGGGTTTCGGGCATAGGGTTTAGCGGCTTAGGGTCTGAGGTGCTGGGTTTACGGGTTCAGAGTAGACTATAACGACAGCTGTGTAGTAGTGGTGTGAAAATGCAAGCTGGTAGTATGAACACGGGTACAAGTAACATGGGCTCAAGCACTGGGATCCTTCATAAAGCACTTGGCTGAAGAAATCCCATACAACCCTTCAAAATCGTATGAACCCCCACAAAACCCAATAAAATCCTATTTTGCGTCCGTAAGACCCGATGTTGATCTTTTGTGCTTGTCGCACCTCGCAAGCGCGGCGGAGCTCCAGGAGCCCTTTCCAGCGCTTTAGGGTTTAGAGCTCATTTCAGGGTTTAGAGCTCAGTTCAGGGTTTAGGATGCAACTCGCGTTCGGGGTCTAGAGTCCAGAAAATCCGCTAAGGACAAGGAGCTCCTTGCGATTCCTGTTCTCTTCTGGCCGCTTCTAACCACCCCTGTGTGTGTGTGATACTCGAAAAGCACCACATTCTGACGCAGGGCACTCTCCACATGGTCGAGTGCTGCATACCCCCTGCCACATTCAGCGTGGGGCCTTGGTTCTCAGCGACAAAAATTCTACAAGATTGAGGCACAGCTGGCAGAAGGCGATGGTATCTTTTTATGGTGGTCGGACGCATCGGGTCCGCTCAATGACGGGGCATGGATACACTTGTCAACGACAGGACTCACATTGAAGTCTGGAGGGTCCCAGCAATAAAAATAATAGCAACAGTAAGAAGGATAACAGGAATAGTAATGATAGTTGTAGTTACAATAATAGTAATCAACAAATAGTATTGATGACAATGAAATATTAGTAATAACATAGTAGTAATGATACTTATACTGGTAAGATTAGATCGTAATAATCGCAATAATAGTAAGAACAATAGTAATGCAATAGTCATACAAATTAGCAAGAACCCCAAAATCCAATAGTCGGGCCTTCCAGCTGCGCCCGCTTCGCCACGAGCTGTGCGCGGACCTCCATACGACCAGGGTCACTACGACCATTGCTCCCTGCATGACCTGTATTTAGGGTTTAGAGTTCAGGGTGTAGGGTACTATCATTATCCATGCCATCATCCTGACAATCTCGCTTGCGATATCTACCCTTCTGACATCTTGTTACATGTTGTGTGACGACGGCGATTTTTGTTGGTGGCCTCCTCCTGCTACTCCTACCTCCTAGCCGTTGTCCCTACTGCTGATGCTGCTACTGCTCCT